TAGAATGACCAAAGATTAAGTTAGAGCCAAAAGAGAACTTATAGATCTCACATTATAGATGAGGAATGTGAGTCTCACATAGGTGAAGAAACTTGCATGGTAGGGGCTCTAATAAAAAAAAAATGGCACATAAAGACTGAGTCTAAAGATACCATCACACCCCGGCACATTGTGGAACCCACTAGACAATCGTTTATTGATAAAATGCTTGATAGATATATTAACACCATCATTAAAGTCATTATTAAATATTTTTTGTGCCTTATAATAAAATATTTCTATGCAATATTTACAGAAAATTAAGACCTTGTAGAGCTAAAGTCACCCATATCTTTTTTGCCCTGCTACTATATGTTTTCCCTGAAATAAGTGGATACAATATATAGATAGAGAGAGAGAGATACACACATATACATATGTGTGTATATATACATATACACATATAGATACACACATATATGTATGTATGTATGTGTATGTATACATACACATGCACACGTGTGTGTGTATGTATACATACACACGCACACGTGTGTGTGTGTGTATGTATACATACACACGCACATGTGTGTGTGTGTGTGTGTGTGTGTGTGTGTGTGTGTGTCTGAACTGTCAGCCTGTTAACAAGGGTTAGTCATTCTATAACTGGGATTTTTAAAAAAAGTCCTTGTGCAATTTCAAGCTTTAATAGTTTATGAAAGGAACAAACTCTAAGTGGTATATGAAAGCACTATTCATAAGAATTTTACACAATACTGCTCAAATAATTTTTAGGCTTCAATATAACTGCTATCTTTCATGAAAAAAATGTTTAATTTGACTTTTCATATATATTGAAAACTTTCTCCAGTTGCTTTTGAGTGATTTCTTAAATTGCATTTGTGATCAGAGATCTATTCCTCCAAAGAATATGATTTTGATGAAAAGACATCAGTTTTAACATGGCCCCAGGGACAACGGATCAGACAAATGAAGTATATAGGGTTTTTATAAAGTACTCAGTCATATATGTGTGTGTATGTATGTGCATATATGTGTGTATATATGTGTGTATGTTATAGACATACACACATATAGACGTATATGTATATGTGTACATACATATACACATATTCATCTGTGTTTATTATATATATACACATATCTGTGTATATATACATACACACATATAGATTGCTATTTATTTAAATTGCTAGTACAACATCCAAGCTTAAGACAAATACCCAGAATTCTATTCTTCCGCTCAAGCCATTTGATCCACTACTTCCTAAACTTTCCTATTGGTTTCAAACATTTAATTCAGAGAGGTAGGTACAAAGCCTAGACTTGTATCCTACTTAAAGAAGTTCAAGTTTCCTTGCTGATTTGCCACTCTAATCTTTGTATATGTGGGAGAGGGGAAGTGACATTGCCTCTCCTGCTACTTCTTGTTTTTCCAACATAATCCTTTACTTTGCCCCAGTGAGGTAGCTTAGACCAATTAGAAAACTAATTTTAACTCAATGAGACATTACCATGTCTCAAACAATTGTTACTTTCTTCAGCCCCCTTCAGATACTCCTTAACTTTTTCTTGAGTCAATCAATCATTCACTGTCTATTTCTTTATTACAGTCTAGAATACCCCATGACTGAACAGTGAGGCATTTTTATAAGGAAATCTTTTCTGGGCATGTATTTTGCGTTGGATCCAAGCTAAAAGCATTAGAATAGAACTGATCTATAAACAACGTGACAGACTTTAATTCTACCTTTTTTTTTCATGTCACTTTTGTGGGAAGAGGCTTGATCAAGGAGGGGAACATAGTCAGAAATTTATTCCTCTCCCCCCACATGGAGAGGAGAAGAAACATGAAAAATAATTTAAAAAACCCCCAACATTTACATCTCCTTAAAACAAAACAAAGCAAAACAATTTTAACAATCTACTAAGCCAGAAATTAGCAGCACTTAACCTTTTCTCCTATAATCTCCTTCCCTAGCTACTCTTGTTGGTAAGGACTTTTTTGGTCCCCTCTTACATCCCCCCCTTTTTTTTTTTGGTGAGGTAATTGGGTTTAAGTGACTTGCCCAGAGTCACACAGCTAGTGAGTGCTATGTGTCTGAGGCCGAATTTGAACTCAGGTACTTCTGACTTCAGGTCTGGTGCTCTATCCACTGTGCCACTTAGGTTAATTTTGTCTTCACCTCCCTAAGGTCTTTAACAGGTCTCAGTTTGACTGAGGTACTGGCCATTCAGTAATAATGGCTTAATAAGAAATGAGGCAAAGAATGGCCTCTTCAAAAAAAAAAATCTCAGAGGGGAAGAACCTGAGGGTTTCTGGCCAAACCAGAAACAATTGCTATTTACATGGATTCTGAGCCAATCTGGGCCCAAGCAATGACCAGGTAGGTCTTGGCCAGGGACTTAATGTTGGCCAATCAATGAAAGCCAGAGTGATCTGGGGTTAAGGTTGGTCTTAAAAAAAAAAGTTTCAGAGATTAAAATTTACATTCCCTTTGGTCAGAGTACTTGATACCCTATGTGGACAAAGGGAAAGGAAAAGAAGAAACAGAGGAAGGAAGGAAGGAAGGAAAGAAGGAAGGGAGGGAGGAGGGAGGGAGGAGGAAGGAAGGAAGGAAGGAAGGAAGGAAGGAAGGAAGGAAGGAAGGAAGGAAGGAAGGAAGGAAGGAAGGAAGGAAGGAAGGAAGGAAGGAAGGAAGGAAAGACGGAAGGAATCTCCAGTTGTCCAGACCTTATATCTGGCCACTGGACCCAGATGGCTCTGGAGGAGAAAGTGAGTCTGGTGAGTTTGCATAGCCCTCCCTCACTGAAATCCAATTCAGTTGCATATCATAACATCACCTCCCTGATGTCACAGTCCTAACAAAGGACAAACAGCACCTTTCTAAGGCATTTTTTCAAGTACTATCATAATTCCCTGTGCTCAAGTGCCATCACCCTCTTAAGCTACAAACTATATAAGGGCAGGGAGACCGTATTATTCAAATCGTCCTCTCCCACTTCTAATGTCTCCTCTTTTGGTTCAATTTCCTTGCTCAATGTGAGGATAATATGGAAGGCACTCCACTCCGATATCCTAACAAGGTGAGAAAATCTATTAATTAATCACTCAAAAGACATTCTAGTCCATGTCATTTCCCCCCTTCTCTCTATTTATATATCCATCATCCTACTTCATACTCTCACCACCTCTCACCTGGACTATTCCAACAGCATTCTAAGTGTCTCTTATTTCCATTCCATCTTCCACACAGCTGCCAACATGTTTTTCCTAAAGTATAGGCCTGACCATATCATCTCCTCTAGGTAATAAACTGCAGTGGCTCCCTATTACCTCCAGGATCAAATATCAAGATATTGACTTGACATTTAAGGCCTCTCACAGTCTAGTCTCTTTCTACCTTTCTATGCTTGTCATACTTTATTCACTTCCATTTACTGCTGCCATCTATACTCTACTATCTGGTTGATATCAGCCAAATTACTGGTCCCTTCTCAGGGCATTCCATTTCTTCTCTTAGGACCTTTGTACTGGCTGTCCTTCTGCTCTTGTACCTGAATGCTCTTCTTCCTCACCTCTGCCTCTTGATATTTCTGGCTTTATTTAAAATTGAGCCACCTTTCTGGGGGGACTTTTCAGTCCGCCCTAGTGACTTGAGCTTTCCTGTCAAGGTCACCTTCTTTCTATTCTATATTTTCATGTATATGTCTATTTTGCTTTAATGCTGTCTCTTCCATTAGTATGTAAGCTCCCTGGAGACAGGGATTATTTGTATTTTTTCTTTTATTTTTCCTTTCTTTTGTCTCTAGAGCTTAATACATTGATTGGCACAGAGTAAGTACTTAACAAATGTTTGCTTATTGATTGATTAAACTTTATCTTCCTTTAGCATCTATCTAAAGGTTTCACAAACAGCAGGTGACTAATAAATGTTTGAAGAAGTAACGAATTCTCCCTTAAGCTTGGAAGTATGTGAAAAAGGAGTCTGAGTGTCCAAAATAGCTGCCACAAAGCCCAAAACAGGGTGGCAGGGGTAGGAAGAGGAAAATGTGAGATAAACACTTTACTCCTCATCCCGAAACTCAGAGATTCACTGGCATGAACATAATAAACAATTTTCTAAGTTATCTGATTTCTCAAGCCATAAGAGAATACAAGCAGCAAAGCAGAAGAAAGTGGGGAAGGCTGTCACAAGAACATTAGCAGAAGAAATTATGACTGTTGATATACAGGAAAATGAAATAAATTAAATAAGCCCCCCCAAAAAAAACACCCAGAAATAAAAGTAAATTCTACCATAAAATAATAGTGCATGTTCATAGTAATGTTCTTGAGTTAACAAGAAAAGTAGATCCTCAAAGTCTAGAAGACATTTTAGAATGAATTACATAAAAATTAAGTAGGTGATAAAAGGGCAAAAATAATGATCAAAAAGGTAAGCTTCAGTTATCTGATGCTATCTCTATTGATGCTAGATAAAATGAAGCTTTACTGTAGCCATGTTCTTGAAATTAAAATCAATACTGATATTTATTTTAAAATTTTAATTTTAAACAATTTTAAAATCAACATTCTGATTTCCATAAGTATATTTGATTACATAAATGAAAATATTACTTGTGCATATGTATATTAATTGCTAATTTTGCATTTGAGGCTTCTATTGGTATTTTGAATACTATAGACATTTAACAAAAACTTTCCCCACTACATTTCATAAAGATATTGCCATATATAGTGATAACATAATATTCATAGAATCATAACACTTAGAGCTGGAAGGTACCTAAGAGACCATTAGGTCCAGGTTTCTAATTTTATTATGACTAAAGTAAAGTAGAACACTTTGTAAAACATCTTTGCCTGAGCTCATACAGCTAGCCAATGCCAGGCTTGAGAAACTTTCTAAATTCTAGTCCAGTGCACTCTCCAGTAGGCTACACTTCCTCTCAGTACGCATGGAATAGACTGAAGTAAAATTTTATGCTAAATTTACCTTGGTAAACAAAATGGAATCCCCTGGCAGATGCACCACTTTTTGCACTGAACCGCAACAGAATTTGATTGGACGTAGCCAAAGGCAGTGTTTCCCCTGCAAATAAGTAAAGAAAAAAAATAGTAAAAAATACATGTCAGGGAATCTGGAAAACATACCAATCTATGGTGTATAATAAAATTGCTAGGATGATGCCTAAGAAAATGATGAGCTATGTTCGCAATCTCACTTTAATATACTGCCAGGTTTTTATAATTTCTTCCTCCAGTTTTACCCTAAAATACTTTTTTTTTTTTGGTAAGCCAGATTTAAAACATTTTGTCCCCTTTGGAATTAAAACATTTTACTCTCTCCGAAATGATGACTTCTTAGGAAATATAGCCACTTGTAGTGCATTTTTTTTTCTATTAGTTGAAAATAATCTTCTACAAGTTGCTTTCTTGAAGAATCATTCTGGGTTTAATTTACCTAGAAAGAATTAACTTAAAACTTTTGTTAGGAGTTGCTTATGCTACTGAAAACTTTCTTAGAATCCACAATACTCTAAAAGATTTAAAAGCATTACAAAAAAGTCTTTTGTAATTCCCTTGTCCCCATCGTGCTTTTAAAGTTGTCTAAACTGATAGCTATCTACATTTTATTTGTACACACAATTGGGGTGGCGGCTGCAAAGAGGAAGAAAAAAGAAAACCAAAGACTTAAAAGTAAGAGTAAATTATTTTCACTCCTTTTCTTTGTTGCACAATTTAGTTTTGTGTGTGACAGGGTCCATAGTACCTACCCTTTCTCATTATCTTTGCAAACACATCAGTTAAATGTACTCATCCCACGTAAATGTAAATTTCTGTAATTATGAGATGTAACTCCCATTTTTGAAGAGATATGTACTCATTTCATCAGCACCCAACACAATCCCTTAAATATAATAAGTGCTCAATAAAATCTGTACACACATAAGTATAAATGCATAGAAAAATACACATGAATTCTTACAAATTATATATATATGTGTGTGTGTGTATGTACATACATATGTATATGTGTATATGTATGTGTGTGTATGTATATATATATATATTTATTTATTTATAAATCCTTCCTTATTCCTTTCAAATTTCAGCTCAAATACCCCCTTTTCTGTGAAACTTTTCCATACTCCCCAGCTACTTGTGATCTCCTTCCCTCCCAAAAATATTACCTTGTTTTTATTAGGTATATACTATACTTTGTAAATCCTAATATATATGTACACTCCTCTCTCCCATTAGAATATATGCTCTTTGAGGGAAGACACTATTTCATTTTTGGTTTTGTGTTCCTAGTGCCTACCTAGCAGTTACTGGCTCATAGGAGGTGTGTAATAAATGTGGTTTGAATGAAAGATTAATATGAGGGGGGAATTGAAATAAATGAAGTAAAATCTCTAATGTGTTAAATCAGCAGTTAAAACCAAGCAATTATTTTGTAATTCCCTCCACTATTTCCTTGAAGCCATAATGACTCATCCCTACATTTTGAAATTTTCATTCCTGTTATGTTCCCCAAAGTTTCTTTGTGGCTTCTTTACCTGAATGGAAACCAGAAAGTGAGCTGAGAAGTCTGGCCTGTGGATGTGCTCCATCAAATAATTCTGCCAAATCATTTAGGGCTGTCTGAAAATAGGCAAACTGCCCAAACACAACTGTAAAATAATAAGGAGAAAAATGAGAAAAGCTCCATTCAAAAATAAAAAAACAATTAATTAATTAATTAATTAACATGTTACTGTGAAATTAGGTTTCTGCAAATTATTGATTTGATCCTTAGCTTAACAAACCTCATAAAAACAAGAGTTTTAAATTGTTTTATGTCTTTAAAAATAAATGAAATAAATTTTCCTCAGAAGTTTATAAATTAATCACTTTGATTTTACTTTTTCATATTTTACACTTACTTACTGAAAGTACACATACCATGATTATACCTGATATTTCCATCTATCCCATTAAAGATATAAAGTTAGTAGAGATTATTTTTATTTTGTTAACTTTGTGTTCATTTCTTCATCAAAGTCTTACACTGTTATTTGTTTTTGAAAAACAATGCCAACAGAGCACAAACTAAAACCACTGCTACCCAACTGAAAGAATTCCAGCACAGAGATGTTGATGAACTCTGTCTGTCAACTAATGGCCAGCCTAAGTTTAGAGAGGCTTGTTACCTTACAGATTCCAGGGGAATGAGTATTTCAGCTACAATAACTCAAGAAGATTGTCTTTGAAGGCACAGAGCACTCACACTGACCAAATCCCAGATCCTTGAAGTACCAAAGTTTAGTTGTAGCATTGGAATCAAGAGAGAATATGCAGAGAGCTGGGGTGGTTACTTTACCAATTTTAAAAAAAAAAAAACATTCCAAGAGTTTTTCAACCTTTAGATTGTGGGTATAGGAATGAATAGCATAGATCATAAATAAGTTGGCCCCATGTGTCATCAGTCCAATCTCCTGATTTTACAAGTGAGAAAATGCAGATCCAGTAAATTAATCTTTCCATGATATTTGACTAGCTGAGTTCCCCAACGTCACTTAGGCAAGAGAGCTGCAATTCAAACTTAAGTCAACTGACTGTAGATTCAAAGCTAGGTTTAAGTACACCACACTGATATCCAATTGACTTTTATATAATATCATACTAATATATGTAATAGTTATCTCAATATCAAGCTTCCATTTATTTTCATTGCAATTATTTTTCCATTCAATATTTGAGCTGCATCAACAAATTTCCCAAGGAAAAATTATTTGAAATTGTTTCACTATTATATAGTAATGAAACAGTCATAAATTTACGTTTATATCAAATACTCATATTACACGATATATCCAGGCATTAAAGTCTAAATAACAGAAAAACTAATTCTATGACTGTTCTTGATCATAAGTACATGAATTGTACACCAAACTGATATAATACGTAACTTTTCCAAGTATTTTAAAAATAAAATCAATGACTTTTTATCTTTTTTAAAGAAAAAAAATAATTGTAGCTCAAACCAGCGTAATAGTCCACTTTTTTCCCCTCTTACCAATAAGTAAAATTTCAATTTTGAAGAAAAATAATTTACTTGGATCTAAATAATTTACATAGATTATTGATTACCTGAAACAATAAGATATGTGTGTTTTAGATATAATTGACATGAAAAAAAACCAATGTGCTTAATTAAGAGCAAGTAAAATGAAAAAAACAATTTTATTACTACAGTTTTTTTTAAGTATGTACATTGGCAGAATCACTGTAATTTCAAGCCAAGGAAAATGATTCTAACTGTTCCTGACAGTTTGAAGGGGAGAGGGAGCAAATGACAAAGGGATATAGGCAATAAATTTCTTAAGCCTGAATTCGGGATGCAGGAATGGGTGGGCAGAATGGATCTCAAAACAAAAACAAGACAGAAGCAAACAATGGGACTATGGGAAAGAATTGGTAGGGCTAGTAAGTTGGACAGGTTCATAACTCATAATATTTCACCTGGGGCAGCACCAACCATCACTGGTGTAAACCACACAAAAAACTTTTTAATTTGGATGTGGGTGTCCATGTGCAAGATACCCCTGCCTACCAAAATGCTACTATACATGAGTTGCTAGAGCTAGTATTCATCTGTGTGAAAGAGGTGAGGCATTTGGTAGTTTTATATTTTTAATAATTCTTGCTAACTAGATAATTAGCTTTGTTGTTTGTTTCATGTTAAAAGTCACAAATGCTTTCAGTCAGCCAATAAGTGTTTATTAAGTGCCTATTACATGCAGGCACTGTGCCAAGCTTTGGGTGCTGCGCTGTGTCCTCTACAGTTTACACCTTGTAGCAAAGCTCCATACTCCATGCTCTAGTTATATCTCTGAAGCTGGGTTTCCTGAACAAAAGATAAGGATGGATTAAAGGCATTTCTAAGACTGAAAGATAAGAATTACCATTAAATATTACACATATCTATTTAATAGTTTTGTTTTCTTAAAGCTAATATATATGATTTTTTGTATGCCAAAAGACTTTCAACTTAGTTAACTATAATTAGTATTTATGATAGACAAAACAAAAGGTTTTTTTTCTGGCAAAAAAACCTTATAATTATGTGTTCTAATAATTTTAAAATTACATTCTTTAGTCTATTAATAAGATGGAAACCTCTAAAAGAGATTGTATCTTATTGCAGGAATGAATATGAAATTATACAAGAACCAGTGCCAGATTTCTCTTGAGCAGAACACTTTCAGTAGGGACATGAAGAAAATAAATAAGGATCACTTCATCCAAGAAAGGAGTTTAAGCTTCACAAGGGAACCTGATAGAGAACATTTAGCAAGCCCTCAAGAAAATAAATCTAGATTCCATTCTCAGTTCCTTTACTATCATTTTATGAGATATTAATAAATTTGTTGCCCAGAATCTTCTTTGTTTACAAACAAAAAGGGATAATTTTTACAACCCAACTCAGAATTCCAAGCTGAACTCTTTGCCTTAAAGAATATTTTTTAAATTACAATAATGATAATAAAATAATAAAATTCCATTGTCAAAACTGCCTTCCAATCTATTTATTTGATTGGTTCTAATGAAACACTTTACAAAAGGTTTATTCAAAGTATGACTCCTATTGAGCATATGGTAGACTAGAAATAAATGCCTCTGAAATTGACCTAAAAATTGTCTCAGTGACCAATGCCTAGCTATCTAATTATTAGAACTATGTAATAACATTTTTAAAATTTACTCTTTAAATGGATTTAACACAAATATACCTGGTTGAGGTCATCCTTTGACACATATGATATAATTATCATAGCTTTCATTCATATAGTACTTTAAAGTTTAAAAGCAATTACAAAATTATCTTATTTTATCCTCACAATAACCTTTAAGGTAGGACTATTATTATCCCCATTTTCAGATAAGAAAACTGAGGTAGCTAGAGGTTATTTGACTTGTCCTGAGCAACACAGCTATTAAGTGTCTGCATATTTGAACTCAGGTCTTACTGACTCCAGGTCTACCATTCTATAAACTGTACTACCTAGATGTCATGTGATATCCTATCTATCCTCAGTCTTTCTAGGAAAAAATAAAGGTATGGACTCAAATCCAGGGATTTAATGATAAAAACTGGTGGAATAAAGGTATCTGATCTTCCTCCTTAGGTTATGGTGGAGGATACGATTCCTAATTACCTTTTCATGAATTTTCCCCCAGAGGCACATTACATAGACATATGAGTGACTCATAACTGCTAGAAGTATTTGAGAAATAAAGGCGACTGCTAGCAGATTACAATGGCAACACCATGTATAAAATGCTAAGTCTATGAGATTTAAGATGTGCTACTTTAGGTGAATAATGTTTCTAGGTATCATTTAGATTTTAAAAGCACTGAAAGTACTAAAGTAATAAATATTCCCAATGAGATTATTTATCTTACAGGGGTAAGCTATTTATTGTCAGAAAGTAATTTATTTGCTGTAAGCTTTAGAATATCTTTAATGCTTTAGCTTTATGGAAATGTTTATGTTCTCATCTTTTATTGATTTTATTTCCATATGTATGATAACCATAATGCTCAGAATGTTCAAAAATGAGTCATTATTAGTTATATCTAAAACATTCAGGAAGAAAACAACCTGGGAAGTGCAAAAAAGCTGCAGGCATACCGACATCAGCAAAGGGTTTCATTCCCTGTTAAAATTTCCTATTCATTAGGAAGGCAGGGAGAGCCCAGCAGAGTAATTAAGTACAGAACTGAGAAGTCTCCTGCCAAAAGCATACTTTCTTTCAGTCACTGATCCTGATGTATAGGTAAAGGTCATGAGATTGAGGGAAAGTTAGTGATTCAGGAATTAAGAACTAAGTGGAGTTTTTAACTCTAATTTTGGACAAAGTAGTATTTAAAATAAAGAAAAAAAGAAAAAGGTTGAAGGGATTTTTTTTAAAACCCAGGACATAGGGAGCAGAAAAATTCTATGTAGGTCATGTGGGGTGGTTCCCTTACAGTAGGTACTTGATAAGTATAATAGATCTCACATGATGAAGTGAGTAACATACATCTCTGTCTGAAACGATAAACCAAAGAAAAAGATGACCTGTACAAGACCTATCTTTGATTAGGTAAAGTAACCAAAGCAAACTAAAGTAGAAAACCCTTCTGAGGATAATCTACAGCTCAGGTTTGCTTTTCAACATAAATAGCATAGGTTGCACTAGAGATCACCATGTTTAAGTACAGCCAGTATTTGTTAGTGTATCAGAACAAACTAGTATTAAAAGAAAAAAAAACTACATGAAAGTAACAATAAAAAGTCCAGCATACTTATCTAATTGGTTTTCCTAAAAAATGGATTCATAAAATAAAATGCCATTTGGAGTAAAAGAAAAAAAAATCACATACCTATGTACATTATTAAAATATATTAAAAACCATTGCCCACTTTGATCTCTTCCTTCTCTGAATTCTTTTAGTATGTATTACATCACTCATCTAGCATTTAGGGTATTATATTGTATTATTAATTTTTTGTATATTTCCTACCTTCTCTAATAAAATATAAAGTCCTTGAGAACTGAATATTTATGATTGCTGCTTTAGATCAGTCTTATCCTTTCAGAAATATGTATCACCTAGTTTGTATGGAGAGGGAGAGATCACAGTGGACCCGAGAAAGGATAGAATTTATTCTTGGATAACTTTATTTCTCTAAAGTTCTGGAGATCTATCTCTGACGCTGACTGTCAGCTTGTCCTCGCTGTCAAGCTGCTCTCTGCCTGCCTGCCTGTCTGTCTCCATCACTGTATCTGTCTGTCTCTGTTTCTCTTTCTGTCTCTCTGTCTCTCTCAATGCTCAATAAATAGAATGAGTTGGATGCTCCCATCATATAACGTAAGATACCACCACTATCTAGTGGCAGTATTACTTTTTTGGAGCATTCAGTAGGGGTGGCAGGTGGAGTTGGGATGGGAGGCTCCAGACCTATGATTTCAATTCATGTGAACTAGAGAACTCTCCATAAGAAACTTCATTCTTTCAGTGCAGAGAGACAACTGTCCTTCAACTCAGAATTTATGGTATCACTGAGGGTTTAAGTGAGGTGTTCCCAGGTTAAACAGACATTATTATCAGAGGCAAGAATTGAACCCAGGTCTTTTGGACTCCCAGACTGCCTCTTGTAGCATAACTCTCAAGTATATAGTGTCTACAGACTAAAGTATCTTTCCATGTAACTTTTGTTCTCTCTTTCCTTTTTGTTCTTATCTAATCAACTCTTAAATGCAGACAGCCTTTGTAGATACTAGATACTAGAAACATTACTACTAGATCTATTTGTAGCTTTTTTTGGTGTGTGTGTATGACAAACAACAAAAACCATGTTTATGTGCTCATGGGGAGCATTGCACATGAGATTGAATGAGATCATATGTGTAAAGTGGTTTATGGAGGAAACTAGCTGATTCAGTGGATAGACCCCTGGACTTGAAGTCAGGAAGATCTGAGTTCAAATGTGGCCTCAGACACTTACTAAATAGACATATGGCCCTGGGCCCTGATTGCCTGTTTCTTCATCTGAAAAACTGAGATAATAATACCTATCTTCCAGGGTTGTAGGGAGGATATAATAAGATAATATTGGTAAAGCATTAGCATAGTGACTGGTACATAGCAGACATTTAATAAATGCTTGTTATCTATCAAGTGGAATAATGTATGTAAAGAGCTTTACAAAACTTAAAGTGATATACAAATGAGAGAGCTATTGTCCTGTCTTTGTAGTTGTTATTATTGTTGTTATTGTCTAGCTGTCTTTTCCCCCAAGTCTCCCTTCCGCAATAGATGAATATGAATGTAGAGAAGTAAGAGAAGCTCTTGAGGACAATCAAGGAAAACAGCTAACAAAAGTTAATTTCTCTACTTCTAAGAGTGGCAATAAATTAACCTAAGACTGTTTCACCCATAATATTATCCACACCCTACATACCCTTACTATCTATTCTAAACTGATGTATAAAGAGAATATCCTCTGGGGAAGGTTAGAGGCAAGTAAATAGATTGTCTCAGAAACATAGAGGTGACTGTTCATTTTTATTTTCATATTTGTCATCTATATACTATAGTGGATACAATCCAAGTTCCTCTGGGAGAAGTGTTTGTTCAACAGTTGAGGCATCTGTTTGTATAAAGTAGGGCAAGTTAACACAAAAAGAGATAACTATAAATTTTAAAGGCATATAAAAGGAAATTCTTACCAAATTCCTTTGGTACAGTTATTGAATAGTGGCACATCTGACCAGCTGTGTAATTGTGAGGGTAATTCGGTGACAAAACTACCCCTTCTGATCCAGTGTACTGTCCTCCACAGGGAGCTGAAAGTAGAGTTAATCAAAACATCATATGCCTTTCATATTTCTATAACTCTAACATATAGCATCTCAGTTTCCCCTGGAATGCCTAAAAAACAAATAATAGGTAAAAGTAAAATCTCTAGATATAGTAAAAGTGTCCCAAGTTGTCGATTTTATGTAGTGATCAAGATAAGAGAATCAACAATCATTTTTAAAATTTAAGTAAAATATTGCCAATTAGGCTACAACAATATATTAGAAATAGTATATGCTAGCCAAGTCATTGGTTTATACCAGGAGTAAGGAATTGGTTTGACATAAGGAAGATTATAAATATAATAAGCCAATTAATAATATCAGTCATATTCAAATAATGAAAAACACATTATGACTAGATGAAAAAAACTTCTGAAAAAATCCAATTTTGTTCTTTTTAAAAAAAAAATTTGTTTAAAAATACACTAAGGCACATAGGAATAAATAATATCTATCCAAAACCAAGAGTGAATGTTATATATAATGGAGAAAAGTTAGAGGCCTTTCTAAGATGATCAGAGATAAAGCAAGCATTCCATTATCACCACTAATATTTAACAGAGGCCATCAAATGCTTAGATACAGCAATACAAGAAAGAAATTGAGGGAATAACCATAGGAATAACATAATCATAGGGCTATAAGGCTCTTTTTAAAGGCAGCTGGAAAAAGGGGAGTTGATGAAAAGTTAAGTTCCTCTTTCCAGTCTTGGAGGATAAGTTCCCTCCTCCTCCCTCCCTTTTTTTTTTCTTGAGCTAGAGGTTAAGTGTAAGTTGAATAGTGTAATCTTCTAAGGTTGGATTTCCCATTTTGTCAGCTGGAGGATGGGGGTGGGAGGTGACTGATAACTACAAACCACAAGTTCCTCTTTCCCAGTCTTAGTTCAAACTACATGCCTTTTAAAGTAAACTTTCTAGTTACAAAATACTACAAGTGCAGGGCAGAGATTCCTAAGGCAATTTCACTTTGACAGACAGGTTGATAGACATAGGATGAATCTGGGTTAAGAAAGCCTGGGAGAAAGTGAACTAGTCAGATGACCTGCCTTGTCCAGTTGAATTATGTTCCAAACAAGTTTCCTAATATTGCTGTAGCTTTTTTTTTAAATTCCTCTTTTTTATTATGAAAAAATAATCTCTGTAAATCACTCTTTTGTCACTAAATATTGAGGAATTAATTGAGCTGACTTAATGGTAACCTGCCAACTACCACTATTAAAATCATTACTCAGAAGCTTTGTACCTCAATTTGTTTTCTATTTCAGATAATTACTTTTAATGGAAGAAGGAGAAGTTCTATCAGTACCAAATCTCAAATTACAGTATAAAACTAATCATTAAAATGATTTCATATTGACTAAAACATAGAGAAGTCAACTTATGAAACAGATTAGATACACAATATACAAAAGGAAATGAACACAGTAATGCAGTATTTGATATACCCAAAATTTCCAGTGAGAGATGGAAGGACTCATTATTTAAAAAAAAAAACTGAGAAAACTGGAAAGAAGTTTGACAGACATGAAATATAGACCAACATCTCAATTCATATGCTAAATGCATACATGATTTAGACACAATAGAAGACAGACATTATTAAAAAAAAAGTTGAGAAGAATTTACCTTTCAAATCTGTGGATAAAGGAAGAGTTCATGACTAATTAGGTAATACAGGACATCACAGAAGATAAAATGGACATTTTTGGTTGTATAAAATTTAAAGGTGTTTGCATAAACAGTTCTAGTTCAGTTAAAAATTAGAAGAAGAACGGAAAGTATTTCTTTATGTACTCTTGAAAATGGTCTTTATTCAATAATGATCACTAATATTAACATAGCCAAGTTTTGGAATAAATCAAATAGATGTTTTACGACACATTAAAAATTAACTTAAACATATGGTCATTCCATTTAACCATACCCACATTTCCAGATTTAACTTATAATTTCCTTAACTTCCAGAACTAATTCTAAGGCTCTCTCCTTCTCTCTCTCTCTCCCTCTCTCTCTCTCGCTCTCTCTCTTTCTCTCTCTCTGTCCCTCTCTCCATCATGAATGTTTACTGTCACCAATACAAAGCAGCTGATATAGAGTAAACCAAATTTACTATCATGCTGAGCATTTAAAAACATTTTAAATGGAGGACCATTGTCCTTAAGCTTAGCACAGTTAAATGAATGAATGAATAACTATATTACAGATTATACAGTTAAACATATATGTACATATACATATATATAATGCACATGTAATTTAGAAACAAAGGGGCTCCATTTACTTTGTGTTAAGTCATTTTTTCACTTGTGTCTGACTCTCTGTGACCATATTTGGGGTTTTCTTGGCAGAGATATTGGAATGGTGTGCCACTTCCTTTTCTAGCTTATTTTACAGATGAGGAAGTTGAGTCAAACAGTGTTAACTGACTTGCCTAGGGTTATAAAGCTAGTAAGTGTCTCAGACCAGATATATACTCACAAAGATGAGTTTTCCTAACTCCAGACCTAGCACTCTATCCACTGTGCCACCTAGCTGCCCCAAGGAGTTTCATTTAAACTGTTTTTAAATGTACAACAAGATAGCGTAAGTGGTTAACTCCAAATCAAATATTGGTAACAATATACATTCATGTTGGTTGACACACTTTGATATACCCTTCTATGTCTTATTTGATATGAGAATCTTAAAGATACTTCCCATGAAGGCTTTTCTGACATTTTTCACATGCTAAGAAATTAAGAAGAGGTGCTATGTGATAGCTCCCCTTAAATCTGGAAAATAGAAATTTTCACCTTAAAAAAGTCTGACTTTGGCATATTTTTTAAAGAAATAAAAGCATATGGCTTTCAAGTATACTGAGTAACTTGACCTTTCTCTATAGTTAGTGCAACTATAAACTTCAGCTCAGTTCCTGTTCAAATTATAACAAAGGGCAAATTACTGTAAACTGCAGTAATTATGTATATATACATACATATATATGTATATATATATATATATATATGTTATACACACACACATATATTATATATATACACTTATATGTATAATATAATTTAGGGAGCTATTATTTCTTTTTCCTAATCTCAATATAAAAATTGGCTAACTCATACACATTGTTACATTCAAAGTTTGCCATTTGTAACATGCAGGACAGCATGCTTGAGAAGGAATTATAAATTAATTCTAATTCTTTTTCACTGGGCATCAGAGGCACTAAGCAAATACTCTGTTAAACACAAATGGTGAAGAACCATAAACGCTGTATATACTGAGTGGAGTTGCAAAATGCCAAAATGTGCTTATGAAAATTTTGTTCTATCTAAATATGTACTAAAGAATTCCCATGTGTTAGGAACCTAAAAGCACTATTGAAGTGGTAAGTGTCATAAGAAACCAGCAACATCTAACGTCTTTTGTTAGAAATTTCAGCAGAAGACTATTTCATTTTATTTTATTTTTTGGTATGTGACACATAGGTTACACTGCTAGAATTTTATTAACACAAATTAATTTAGCAGAATCTAGCTGGAGCTATGGAAAGTAAATCATAGAGTCCTAGAGAAACTAGACATTGACAATCAAATTTTGATAAGAGGAGAAAAAAAGAGAAAATTTTAAAATGCAAGATAATAAACTTAGGGCTAGAAGGGACCATAAAGATCATTTTCTCTCTTCTCTTCATTTTGTAGATGAGAAAACTGAGAACCAAAGAGATTAAGTGACTTGCTTGAGGCAACATAGGCTGCAAGTAGCAAAGTTGATATTTGAGCCCAGATATTCTGACTCAACATTCACTTCCCATTCTAATGCACAAAGCTATCTACAGGTTTTCATAGATTATGTCAGGGCAACTGGATGGCATAGTGGATAAAGCACTAGGCTTGGAATCAGGAAGACTCATCTTTGTGAGTTCAAATCTGATATAAGACACTCACTAACTGTGTGACCCTGGGTAAGTCACTTAACCCTGTTTGTCTCAGTTCCTCATCTGTAAAATGAGCTGGAGAAGGAAATAGTGAACCACTCCAATATCTTTGCCAAGAAAACTCCCCAAATGGGGTCACAAAGACTTGGATATGACTATGTATTAAAAAAAAAAAAACAACCCAAAGACATCAGAGATGTCAGGTTCAGTTGAGACAGTAGAAAAGAAAATTTGGTATAGTCAAAAATGGGTTTTGGACTTCCAGAACTTGGTTTAAAATATATGAATGACATTCCTGTCTAGAGATGGAGCATACAAAATAAAAGCTGTTAAGACTGCAATTACTGGTTCTCTTTCAAAGCTAATCAATCATAAGGCCTTTGAACTAAAAAAGGATGGAGGAGGGAGAAATTGCCTATGTATAGCCATCAAGTTAGATAACATGGAGAGTAGGCACAATGAACAAAGAACAAAACCATTTGAAACACCCTTAAATTTATAGAATTTGAAACTTAGATGGGACCCTAGCACCCATCTAGTCAAACCCATAAACAAAAGAAATATTCACTATAATATACCTGACAACTGGTCATCCTGTTTCTGCCTAAAAATCTCTAAGGAAGAGGAAATCCATCATCTCTCAAGGAAGGACATCCCACTTTTGGCAGCTCTATTTCTCAGAAAGCTTTTCTGATGTACAGCCTAACTTTGCCTCTTTGCAATTTCTACCCATTGCTTTTTGATCTGCCCTCTGGGGTTCAACAGTCTAAAACCTCCACCAAATGACATCCTTCCTTCAAATACTTCAGGACAGATATTGCATCCACGATTTTCCCTCACCTGACTCTTGAGTTCAAGCTTCACATGACCATATATATGGCATGGACTCAAGTGTCTTCATCATCATGGTTCACCTCCTTTGGACGTTATCCAGTCCAGCTTACCAATGTCCTTAAATCATGGTGATGTTGTTCTTCAGTCATTTCAGTTGTGTCCAACTCTTTGTGATCCATTTGATTTTTTATTTTTGGCAAAGATACTAGAGTGGCTTACCATTT